AATAAATCTTGGGTGGGAGAGATGGGTCAGGAGTTTGCATATTTCTCTTTCAGGGGACCCAGCTTTTCCCAGCCCCACATTGGGTGATTCACGATAACTCCAGTTCTGGAGAATCAGATGCCCTCTTCTGGCCTCCACAGTACTGCAGTCCAGTGCACAGACACACAGCATGCACATAATTAAAAACAAAGACAAATCTCTCTTTTTGGGGTGGGGGAGGGGGGTGAGACGGGCTCACTTTGTAGTCCTGGCTGACTGGAACTCTTTATGTAGACTAGGCTGGCCTCAAGCTCAAACCTGCCTCTACCTCCCAAGTGCTAGGATTAAAGGCATGTGCCACCATGCCTGGCAATACTTATTTTATTTTTCAGTCCAGTGGCTTTTTGTTTTGTTTTTAAGGTTTTGTTGTTGTTGTTGTTTTGGGGTCTTTTTGAGACAGGGTCTCCCTGTAGCCCCAGCTGACCTGGAACTCGCTATGTAGACCAGGCTGGCCTCGAACTTACAGAGATCCGCCTGCCTCTGCCTCCCAAGTGCTGGGATTAAAGGCATGGACTACCACACCCAGCCCCTATTTTTAATTTTTAATCGTGTGTATATGTGCATATGTGCACAAGTGTGCAATGCCTGCAGAGACCAGAAGTGTCAGATCCCCTGGAACTGGAGTTACAGGTGGTTGTACGCCTCCCGGCATGGCTATTTACTAAAAACAACTCTGATCTCTGCAAGAGCAGAGTGCACTCTTATCTCCAGCCCCTTACCCAGTGTTTTTAGAGTATGGTAAACAGGTATATCCAAATACAGTTGATCCTGTATAACCTGACATTATTTTTCTGATATCTCAAACGTGATAATCTCACAAGTTTCATAAATGTGGCTGCTTTCAATACAGTTGATTATAAAGTGGACTCTAAAATTGCAGCCAGATGGTAGCACATGCCTTTAATCCCAGCACTTGGGAGACAGAGGTAAACAAATTTCTGTGAGATCTACATAGCAAGTTCCAAGCCATCTGGGACTACAGAAAACAAATTGTATATGTAATGATGTTTTTAAGCAGACGTGGCTGCTAGTGTTCTTTTCTCAAGATTTTTCTGTGATAAAACCTTACTACAAAGTAATTTTTGGTGTCACATGAAGTATTTCCTAAGTAAACATACTTCCTAGAATATGTGCCGGCACTCTTCCAAGCACTTACATGAACACACTGTCTTTCTCATGCCGCTATGGGGGGCGGGGCGGTCTGCTGTGCCCTTTTATGTGCCGAGTCACTTGACACAAGAGTAGCATGGCTAAGATTAAAATCAATCCGTACAACCCCAGAGTCCGGTTTCTTGCCATTTTGTCCTGCTTTATACAGGCCATCAGGTGGATGCCAAGAGGTGCAAAAAAGAAAAGTCCAGGGAGTGTGGAGAGATACAGGTTAAGGGTCTGAAAATAAAACCAGCTTCATCTGCATATCCAGGCCAGCTGCGGCTACAGAAAGACCCTGTCTTAAAAAGAACAAAAAAGGAAACAAGTACATTCTTAAAAACGTAAATCATTTTTTAAATATTTTTATTTTACGAGTATGAGTATATTGCCTGCATGTAGGTAGGTACACCTGTGTCGTGCAATGCCCACAGGGTTGGGTGATTGTTAGGCACTGTGTGGATGCTGGGGATCGAACCTGGGTCTTCTGTAAGAGCAGCCAGTGCTCTTAATTGCTGAGTAGCCCTTAGTGTAAATCTTACTAGAAAGCTGAAGTTGCAGTTGATGAATATATCAGCTACTTTAAACTTTTTTTTTTTTATGTGTATGCATGTATTGCCTGCACGTAGGTAAGAGCACCCGTGTTGTGCAATGCCCGCGGAGGTCAGAAGAAGCTGTTGGATCCCCTGGGACTGGAGTTACGGACAGTTGTTAGCTGCCATGTGGGTGCTGGGATTCGAACCTGGGTCTTCTGCAAAAACAACCAGTGTTCTTAACCACATGTATCCAGTCACTTTAAAGTTGCTGATGAGGGCTCTCAAGAGAGAAGGGTTTACTTGGGCTTACGGTCTGAGAAGGGGGTGTAGTCCATCATGTAGGGGAACCTTGTAGGTGGAACTCAGCACCTGGTCACATCGCCGCAGAAGGCAGAGACCAGACAGGAAGCAGGACTAGGCTCTAAACTTCAGGGTCCAACCCTTTGTGGTCCACTTCCCTCCAACTGGGCTCTACCTTTTAAGGTTCCTCAGCCTCCTTAAACAGCACTACCAGCTAGGGACCAAGTGTTCAAACACATGAGCCCATGGGGACATTTCACATTGAAGCCAGGTACTTTCAAATCTACACCAGAGCCCCTTCCCTAGCAAGACTTGGGTAGATAGTTGTAATTTTTTGTGCATATGTTTATTTATATGCATATATGATTAAAGAACTAATTTTTTTTAAACAGAGTCTCATTTAGCCCAGGGTAGCCTCATTGTGTAGTTGAGGATGACTCTAAACAGCTGGTCTCATAGCTACACTTTCCCAGTATCGGATATAGGCATGCACCTCCACCCCAGTTTTCGTGGTGCTGGGGATGGGACCCAGGGCCTTGTGTATGCTAGCAAGCACTCTGCCACCCAATCATCCCCAGTCCCTGTGTCATCCACTTCTAACGATGTTCTGGAGCAGCTTTGTCACCAGATAACCTGTGTGTCGTTGAGCTACTCCAGTGTTGGTTTTCCTTATGTGACTTTGTTTAGTACTGGATATGAACCTTGGGACATTTTGAGAATATAAACAATAATAAATTATAAGTAATAAGATCTTAAGATGAAGCAAGATTATAGAAAAATCTCAGCTGAGCTTTAAAAGATTTACTTTTTTAGAGCAGGTACTAGGTGAGATCCTATATTGTCAGTAACTGTCAATCATAGAGTCAAAATCTGGCAATGAGCTGACATACCTGCTTTTGTTGAATGGCTTGTAATAGATGGTAATCTGAGTGTCTGTTTCTCTTTTCTGTGGCCTCTTTTGGGGCAAGAAGGTATTTTACTCATCTTTGTTTCTTACCAAGACCCATGGCAGCTTGCATGTAGTTAGAAAAAATTGATCTATCATGCATGAATTGAACTGAAAAATGCTTTATTTAGTGATCTGGCATCACAGCAGCCTGCTCATCCATAGACAATGCAGAAAGGGGCAAGATGTGCTCACTGTTTTCTAGCCAATAGAAGAGGCTAAGTAATGAAGTCAAGTTTCAATATGAATCAGAAAGTTTCCAAAGACAGAGTGACAAACCATAAGAAAAGGGAAAGAACCTGACTTTTTTTTTTTTTTTTTTTGGTCTTTTTGAGACAGGGTCTCCCTGTAGCCCCAGCTGTCCTGAAACTCATGGTGTAGACCAGGCTGGCCTTGAACTCACAGAGATCCTGCTGCCTCTGCCTCCCGAGTGCTGGGATTAAAGGCGTGTGCCACCACGCCTGGCTTTTTTTTTTTTTTTAATATTATGTGTATAAGTGTATTGCCTGCATGTATGTGAGTACACCCATGTCGAGCAGTGCCTCAGAGGTCAGAAGAGGGCTTCAGATTCCCCTGGAACTGGAGTTAAGGATGGTTCTTAGCTGCCATGTGGGTGCTGGGAATTGAACCTGGGTCCTCTGCAAGAGTAGTCAGTGCTCTTAACTGCCAAACCATCTCTCCAGCCCCATGATCTCTTTTTAAAAAGGAATCTGCAGGCTTGAGAGATGGCTCAGGGGTGCTTCCGCTTTTCCAGAGGACCTGAGTTTCATTCCCAACAGTCATGTCAGGGGGCTCACAATTGCTTGTAACTACAGCTTGAGGGGATCTCCCAATGTCCTCTTCTGGCCCCCACAGACACTTGTAGACATGTGGTACACACACACACACGAATAAAACAAAAAAAAATTTAAATGGCATATGTTGTTCTAGCAGTACAGAATGAGGTATGGCTGTCCAGGCACATGGTCAGGTTAAGCTGGCAGAGGAAGAGCAGTGACATCAATAGTTCTTTTTTATGGGTCAAAGATTTTTATTTAATTCATTAATGAATGATGGAAACAGATGTTACAATGAGTTAGAAGGAATTACCAAAGACCAGATAAATACATAAGCCCATCAGTAATGCTGACATCAGTTTTCTTTTTGTTTTCTCTTCTTTCTTTTCTTCTTTCCTACCTTTCTTTTTTTCTTTCTTTTGGCATCAACATTTTAATCAAGGATTTGGGAAGGTAAATATAGCTCCCAAATACTCTGGAGAGCTGTAGAAATATGAGAAAGGCTCAGTTTTTCTAGGAAAGAATAAGCAGCGTTTATGATAGATCAGTGGCTGGTGAGATGACACAGCCGTTAAGAGCACCAGCTGTTCTTGCAGAGGGACCCGCGTTGTTAGGTTCCCAGCACCCATGTGGTAGCTAACAACCTTCCTTAACTCTTAGTTTCAGGGGATCTGATGCCTTCTTCTGGCCTCTGGGCATTGTAGGCATGGGTGCAACAGCATACATGCAGTCAAATAGTTAAAAAATAAAAAATAGTATTTTTAAAAAATGATGACATAAGTGTAACCAGAAGAAAAAAAATGCTCAAACGTTCTCTTGTAGTACTTTCTTCAGAAGCTTTGTTGAACTGGTTGGCCTACTGGTTTTGTTTTTTTGGTTTTAGAAGCAGGCTAGCTTCCAGCTGTGTAACTGAGGATGAGCTTGAGCTCCTCTTGACCCTGCCCTCTAAATGCTGGTGGTGACCAAACTTAGTTTATATGGCACTGGGGATGAAAGCCGGGTCTTCTTGGACTCCAAGCAACCATTCTTCCGAGTCACATCCTCAGTCCTATGTCCCCCCACACCCCCACATCCTCAGTCCCATGTTCCCCCCCTCCAACGCTTGTTTTGCCTTGGGTGAAAAAAAAAAAAATGTTCGGCATACTCTACTTTAATAAATGCAGCTAATTCTTTTAAAATGAGTTTGTGTTTATAGGAGTGAAAAAATTGAAATTTTTGTCTATTTGTGTTGACTCATTTCTTATTCCCTTGCAGCTCCTCAGACCGCGGGAGAAAAAGCTGGGATTAGGTAAGTGGAGTCTCCAGCCCCTTATTCCTGCTTCTTACCCTGTCAGGTTGTCTAATGTGTATTTTCCCACTTTGAAAAAAGGCCCAAATACAGTTGCCTGCAATAGCTTGTAATGCTCTTCATGACATTTTGATGGTTTAACTTGGATTGCCTATATCAGTCAGGACCCAGTTAGAAAAACTGAAAGCACTGTAAGTCTGTCAGAATAGAGAACTGAGTACAGGAACTCTAATGTAGTAGGTGGAGGAACTGTTGAGAAGCCTTCTGTCTCCCTGATGCTACTGAGAGATGAGCAAGGAGGAGCATGGAGCAAGGGTGAGGAGACTGGAAGAGGCCCGTGTTTTTAGAGCTGGAAATTTATGGCTAGTCTACTCAGGGAGCTGGAGTATTGGGCAGCCGTGGATGCTGCTTAAGTCAGTGCTGAATGGAGTATAAGAGAGCGGGCACTGATACTTCTGGTTGCCTTCTGCACTTCACCTGTACCTCCCAAAGCTGTCTGACAGGCAGAAGCTGGGAAATGGGGTATGCTGTAGTGTAGCCTAGAGTAGGGAAAGTGAGAATCTGGATCTGAGGGCAAACGTCTATGACCAGACTTCAGTGGTTAAACTTCGAACAGCCTTTACATTGTAAGTCTAAAGGGTGATTATTTCTGGGGCTGGTGAGAGAATTCAGTGGTTAAGAGCACTGGCTACTCTTAACAGAGGACCTGTGTTCGATTCCCAGCACCCACATGGCGGCTAACAACCATCTGAAACTCCAGTTCCAGGGGATCTGACACTCTATTCTGACCTCTGCAGACATTGCACCACATGGGTGCACTTGCATACATGCAGGCAATACATTCAAATGGGTAAAATAAAAATAATTTAAAAAAATTTTTTTTAAGTTTTTTTCTTCAGAATGGGATTATTTTGAAAGATAGACTAAAAATAGAGATGTTTTTATAAAGTCAATTTTGATCCTCTGCCAAAATTCTAGAATGTCTCACATAAGCCCAGTGATCCTGAAGTGAGACTCTGAATGCCTTCATTTCTGCCATTGGTCACAGTCGCTCATGCTAAGAATCAGTAAACTTTTTGTGAAAAAAAATCTGGGGAGCACAGAGAAAGCACAGGTCTTACCAAATGAAAGCTGCTGTCCTAGGGCTGGGGTGATGGCTCGGGGTTAAAGCACTTGTGTGAAGACTAGAGCTTGGATCAGAAACCCACATAAATGCCAGGTGGATGTGGTGACCCACCTGTAATTCCAGTCCTAGAAACTGGAAACAGGATTCCCAAGAGCAAAGCTGGCCAGCAACACTAGCCATATCAACCAGCTCAGAATTTGGTTGAGTCTCTTCATGAGTAAGGTGAAAGTGATTGAGGATGATTCCAGACATCAACTTTAGGACTCCACGTGCTTGCGTGTACACACACATGAAAAAGTAATAAAAAGCAAGCCACTGTCCTAAAGAACATTGACCTGCTGGCAGCATCAGACGCTTGGACATCTAAGTCCACATGTTCTTTAGTATTGAAGTAATGATCTGGAAACTGTCACAAAACGCTGCCAAGAATTACTAACCAGTCAGTGAAACACTCAGAAACTGCCATAGTCACTTAGTCAAAGTTGTTAGTCCTAATGAGGTATTGTGGTACTGTTTTTTAAACTTGTTTCTGTTTTTTGTTTTGGTTTTTGGCCTTTTTGAGACAGGGTCTCCTGGTAGTCCTAGCTGGCCTGGAACTATGTACTATGTATACTATGAAGACCAGGCTGGCTTTGAACTCAGACATCCACCTGGCTCTGCCTCCCGAGTGCTGGGATTAAAGGCGTGCACCACCACGCTGGGCCTACTTGTTTCTGTTTTTAACTGATGCATAGTAGCCATGCATGGACTACACTGTGACACATCCATATGTGTACAGTGCATAAGAATCAAATCAGGGGAATTGAATTTTTAAAAATTTATTTTCGTTTTATGTGTTTTGCCTGCATGTATGCAAGTGCATCACATGCATGCAATGCCTGAAGAGTCCAGAAGAGGGTATCAGATTGCCTGGAACTAGACTTATGGATGGTTATTAGCCACCCTGTGAATGCTGGGAACTGAACCTGGGTCCTCTGCAAGAGCAGTCAGTGCCCTTAACCACTGAGCCATCTCTCCAGCCCTGGTAATTGGCTTTTCTGTCTTTTAAATCACATATCATTTCTTAGTGTTGAGAACATTTAAAATCCTGATTTGAGCCAGACATGGTAGCACATGCATTTAATCCCAGCACTCAGGAGGCAGAGAGAAGGAGGAAGAGGCAGGCAGATTTCTGAGATTATCTGATTGATACGGAACTAAAGAAGTTGTTTCTCTTAATTTGTTAGTGCTAGGGAGTAAAGAATGTAGGAATTCTGAGACTAGAGAGATGAGTCAGCAATTAAGAGCACTGTCTGCTCTTCCAGAGGACCTGGGTTTGATTCTCAGCACCCACATGGTGGTTAACAACCGTCCTTAAAGAGATCAGTTCCCAGGGATCCAACACCCTCTTCTGGCCTCTGTGGGCTTTGCATGACATGGGTACACTTACAGGCAAAACACTCATACACATAAAATTTTTAAAAAATTTTTTTTAATGTAGGAATTCCTGAATCCTCCTGACTAGTTACCCTCATTACCAAGGCCCTGAATGGCAGACTTCGGGCATAAAAATGACTGAATGGTTGCTAACTGCTCCTTCAGCCACATGTATTCTGGTAAGGGCCTAGTGTTCCTGGCAAAGTGCAGATAGTCTTTAGTAGACAGCTTCTGTGGAAATGGATTAGGAATGCAGAAGGAAAGAGACTTTTTTTGGAATTATTCAGGAGTCAGAAAGTATCACCCAGGGCTACATGAAGGTCAAGACAGAAGGGAATTGAGAGATGGTTGGGATTAGAGTCAATACACCTTGTAAATTACAACTAGGAAATCAGTGGTCATCCCAGACTTGTGGCTGGTAGGGTCAGATAGTGGGTGCCGTTTTCTGAGTGGTGGCCTTTTACAGGAGCATGAATTTGGGGAATGATTATAGGAATGCATTTGAGATTTCCAATACAACTAAGTGGAAATAACAGCTAGGAAGCTGATATGTCAGTTTGGAGTTCTGAGGTCTGGCCACTGTGTCTTAGGAAGACACTAAAGAAGCACCAACAAGATTTTGGGACAGTGGGGACCAGTCTAAGAATATGATAGTTTTTATGTAACCTCTAAGACTTGGAAGCAAGGCCTGCCTGATAGTCTTAGCAATTGGCAGAAGGATCTTCATAAGTTGGAAAACGTGGGTATGATCTCTTTTTTTTGAGACAAGATATGACTATGTAATCCCAACCAACCTGGGTTCTGTATAGACCAGACTGGCCTCAAATTCACAGAGATCCACTCACCTCTGCCTCCAGAGTGCTGGCAGTAAAGGTGTGCATCACCACACTTAGCAGAGGACAGAAGAAGGCATTGGATCCCCTGGAACTGCAGTTACGGGTGATTGTTAGTCATCATGCAGGTGCTGGGAACAAAACCCAGGTCCTCTGCAAGAGCATCCAGGGCTCTTAACTGCCGAGCCATCTCTCCAGGTCCATTGATTGTATTTATAATGCATGTGAGTTGTACTATTAAAGTTGGAAAGTCTAGTTTTAGAGGACTAACATTTTCTTTTAGGGTGCTAAACTAGTTCTTATTCAAATGCATACCTAAATATTTCTAGTGATTTTTGTTAATGGATCTAAATACTCTCATTTTTTAGGAACTGCCTATATTCACGGAATAAAACATGCCACAGGAAACTATGTCATCATTATGGACGCTGACCTTTCACACCATGTAAGTGGTGTGTCTCTGTGGTTTTAGTCTTACGTTTTGTTTTGTTTTGAGATGGTGTTATTCTGTAGCCAAGGCTAGCCTGCAACTCAGTGTATAGTCCAGACTTACTCTGAGCTTGTGGGGATCCCCTTGCCCCAATCTCCTGAGTGCTAGGATTACAGACTTTAGCCACTATGTCTAGTGCATATTTATTAGCTGTCTGTGATAGACGTGGCATATGTTGCTGACTTTTTATTTTTTCCAAATTTCAGCCAAAATTTATTCCTGAATTCATCAGGTAGGTACTGTTTCTAACATTTCTAATAATAGAAACTAAAAATTCCACTTGTTTATTAATTTAAAACTTTTCTATCAAAATTTAACATGCAGACTTGTGACACATAAATGCAGATCTGTGACTACATGGTATGTTTTGGGGGCCTTTAGGGACCGATCAATAAATAACTCCTTTTCTAAATTCTTTCAGAATACAGAAAAGATGAATTGGTTAGAATTAGGCCTTGGATCATTGGAGTAAAAGACCATATACAAATAGGTTTTTTCCAGGATGGTTGACATCAGGACTCCCACAATATAATTCATTTATAATCTCAACAGACAAAGCAGTCATTTGTTTAGAGATGCTGGAAGATATTTTATTTGCCTCCCTTTGCTAATGATTGAAAACTTAAAGCTGGAATGGAAGGAAACCACTTAAGCATGATTAAGAGTGCAGCAGACCAGGCACCTGTAGAAAACTCAGAACAGCTAACAAATCACAGAAGTCCATCCTAGTATGCAGTCAGGAAAATACCTATCAGCAATTAGTTTGTCAAATGTAAACCTTGTGTTAGAGTAAGACGAAGACTGGGCACACTCAGATACTACTAGAAGAAGCATGAGCTGTAGGACCTTTTGACGAAAGAATTTTAGGAATACGTTAAAACACACAAGCTTTGTTTTGATCTTTCTAGGATATTCTGTCTGGAGAGTCTAAGCACCATGATGAGTGTTTTCAAGAATGTTTCTTCCAGCATTGCTCATGATGCTTTTGTTGTTGAGGTGAGAGAATAGTCACAGAAGTCCACCTTGACCATTTTGGAGGTGTTAAAAATAATGGGGGGCAGTGGGGCTGGAGAGATGGTCCAGCAGTTAAGAGCACTGGCTGCTCTTGCAAAAGACCCAGGTTCAACTCCCAGCACCCACATGGCAGCTAACAACCATCCATAACTCCAGTGCCAGAGAATCCAACATCTTCTTTTGGCCTCTGCCGGCATACACAGCATGGGTGCGCTTACATACATGCAGACATGACATTCATACACATAAAATTTTTAAAAATGCCAGGTGTGGTGGGGTACACACCTTTAATCCCAGCACTTGGGAGGCAGAGGCAGGCGGCTCTCTGTGAGTGAGTTCCAGGCCAGCTGGGGCTACAGGGACTATCTCAACAAGACCAAAAAAATATAATAAAAAATAATAATAATGGACTGGACATAGTGGCAATGCTTGTAATCCAAGCCCTTGGGAAGCAGCTGCAGGAAAATTGCTGCAGGTTTAAGGCCAGCCTGGACTACATAGAGGAAACCCTGTCTCCAAACAAGCAGAAATGAGCCAGGCATAATGGTACTTGTCTTTAATCCCAGCACTTGGGAGATAGAAGCAAGAGGATCTATGTGAGTTTGAGGCTAGACTGGTCTACATAACAAGTTCCAGGCCACCCAGAGTTACATAGTGAGACCCTGTCTCAAAAACCAAAACAAACATGCAGTAATAATGGGAGCAGGGCATGTGAGTGCTGCGCTGTGATCCTAGCCCTCCAGATAGTGGAGGGTGAGGGGTTTGAGACCACTCTTCACTATATAGCAAAACCATATTTTTGTTGTTACTACCTTTTCAGACTGAGTCTTAAGCATTAGAAAGGTCTGGGCCTGGAGAAATGGGTAAGCAGTTAAGATCACTGGCTGCTCTTGTGTAAGACCTAAGTTCAAGTCCCAGCACCCACATGGCAGCTAACAACCCTACATAACTCTAGTTCCAAGGGATCTGACACCCTCTTCTGACCTCCACAGGAATTGCACAATACAGGCACACTTACACACATGTAGACAATACACTCATAAACCTAAAAATAAATAAATAGTGGGACATGGTGGCACACACCTTTTATCCTGGCACTTGGGAGGTGGAGGCAGGCAAATCTCTGTGAGTTCAAGGCCAGCCTGGTCTATATAGTGAATTCCAGGCCAGCTGGGGATACAGGGAGACCTTGTCTCAGACAAAAAGAAAGAATGAGTAAATGAATTAGGAAGGTCTCTTGGCCTCTGGGGGATGTTTATGATTCTAACTTTGTAAATGCAACCAAAGACCTTAGGGGAGGGTATCTGGTTATGCTCTATAAGCACAGAGAACAGTCTTTTTTTTTTTTTTTTTTTTTTTTTTTTGGTCTTTTTGAGACAGGGTCTCCCTGTAGTGTAGCCCCAGCTGCCCTGGAAATCACTATGTAAACCAGGCTGGCCTTGAACTCACAGAGAGCCACCTGCCTCTGCCTCCTGAGTCCTGGGATTAAAGGCATGTGCCACCATGCCCAGTGAGAACAGTCCTTTTTAATACTGTGCTTTCTTTAGTAGGGCGGTGGGCAGAATGGAGGAGTTCCCACTCCTCCAGTCTGTGACTTTACCAATACCCTATATGGTGGTACTGTTTTGTACTTTGCCTCTATCACTAAAAATAAGTAAAAGAAAATCAGATCTAGAAATTAGGGATATAAAGCTCATTGGCAGAGCATTTGCCTAGCATGCGTGAAATCCCAGCTTTGATCTCCAGTATAAGAAAAGCAAATAAATAAACCATGAGATGAACAGAATCAGGCTGAAAGACTCATTTTGAATTGTCAGGTAATCTGATTCTATGACTTGTGTTTTGTCTCTGCTTCCCTTAAAACTTCTATTTGTGTGACTTCTGAAAATACTTGTCAGAAGCCCAGTAGATTTTTCTAATTGACAGTTCTTTTTTCCACAGGAAACAAAAGGAAGGTAATTTTGATATTGTCTCTGGAACTCGCTACAAAGGAAGTGGAGGTGTCTATGGCTGGGATTTGAAAAGAAAGATAATCAGGTACATATATACATGTGATGTAATTTCTCTATAGTGTACCTGTGTACTGTATTTGAATTAAATTATCATGGTACCTTTGGATTTGTAGGATCAGGTTATAACTGCCAATAAAACTTCTCACATAGTTTCTTTCCTACAATTTTCCTTTTGCTTTTATTTCGGCTTGGTTTTCATTGAACAATAATGAGCACAAACCTTGAAGCCTTGGTAGCAAGGCTTTAGTAAGTTTACTGTCCTTGCTAGGCCTGGTGGCACATGTCTTTTAAGGCAGAGGCAGAAAGAGCTCTGTGAATTCAAGGTCAGCCTTCTCTACATAGCAAGTTTCAGGTCAGCCAGGGCTACATGATGAGACCCTAACTCAAAAAAAAAAAAAAAAAAAAAAAAAAAGGGCTGAACCTTAGTCGGAGTTTAAGAGCAAGCACTGCTCTTGGAAAGGAACCAGCACCTACATGGCATCTCAGAACCACCTGTTGTAACTCAGCCTTGGGGGGCAGGTGGGCAGGGAGTCGTCTGGCCTCTGTAGCTCCCTGGACTCATGTGCACACACACACAAATTTAAAATAAAATAAACATTTTTTTATTTTTTAAATATTTATTATTTTAATTTTTTATGTGTATGAGTGTATTGCCTGCATGTATGTGAGTGCATCTGTATTTTTTAAAAATAAAAAATGCATTTGATGAGAACCTACATACTTCTAAAAATAAGCCTAATAATATGTGTGTTTATTAATGTAGGAAAAGAAATTTGTAGCATACACATAAAACAAATAAAATATTTTTAAAAATAAAAATGTTGGGGCTGGAGAGATGGCTCAGTGGTTAAGGACACTGGTTGTTCTTGCAGAAGACCCAGGTTCCAATCCCAGCACCCACATGGCAGCTAAAAACTGTCTGTAACTCCAGTCCCAGGGGATCCAACAGCCTCTCTGACCTCCACAGGCATTGCACGACACAGGTGCACTTACCTACATGCAAGCAATACACACATACACATAAAATTAAATAATAAATTTTTAAAAATTAAAAAATAAAAATGTTGGGGGTGGTGATACATACCTTTAGTCCCAGTGCTTGGGAGGCAAAGGCAGCCAGATCTCTCAAGGCCAGCATGGTCTACAGAGTGGGTTCCAGGCTACCCAAGGCTACATAGTGAGACTCTGTCTCAAAAAAAAGTTTTTGTACTGATACTTAGTTTCATGTAAATCAATTTTTGAAAAAGTTAGGATACTCTCCCCTACTGTATTTATATTTTTATCATTTTAAGTAAATAGGACACTATAATAGTCACTAAGACCTTGGTTTAAATTACATTTCTCACTTAATTGTGTTGTCTTGTATATTTTACCTCTTCTAACTTCATCTTAAAACCAGACTTTTAGTTTACTGTCACTGTCAACCCATCTCCAAAGCTCAGTAGGATCCTGTAGACTGGCTGGAGGCCCCTCCAGTTCTCTTCGTGCCTCTCACAGGAGTGGAAGTGAAGCAGCTGCTTCATGTGACTTTGTGTGTTTGTAAGTCAGTGGACAGCCTCCTTTCCCTTGGAACTTGCAGAGTAGGCTGGCTGGCCCAGGCTTCTGAGGACCTATCATATCTCATACTTACATGCCAAGGACTTTACTGACTAAATTATCTCAGCCCCTTCACCTGGTTGTTTCTTCCAAGAACACAAAGGCAGCGGCTCCCTAAGTAGAGGCCTCTGGGGATCCCATAAGATCAGTATTCTTCATGGATAAGTAGGGAGACAGTCTAGTTCTCAGTGGGAAGGCTCATGGAGAACCATGATACAGTCTATCCCATGTGTTTCCGAGTTACGGGAAGACGTGTACATATCATTAATTTCTTCTATCACCATCCTTGTTCCTACTACAGATTTTCTTAAGTTCTTTCTCAACTGTAGAACCTAAGAACAGTCACTTAAAACATTTTTGAGCCTTTATCAAATAAGGAAGAGGTTGGATTCAATAGTTTTTAATCCTGCTACACATTGGAATCCCATGAGGAGAAAATCGTACACCACTGCCCTGCCCTTCTCCCACCCATCGCAGAGTGAATGAGAACCTGTGCATGAGAGTGTCCAGAGGCCTCCTCAGCAGATTATTCCTTGTACTACCAGGCTTAGCCAAGGTTGAAAGCAAGTGATGAACCTCTAAAGGTCTGAGTTTAGTCATTCATTCACCTGTTGTTTAAAATTAGGGAGTCACGGGCTGGAGCAGTTAAAACCATTTACTGTTCTTAAAGAGGATGGGGATAATACCCTTATCAGGTGGCTAACAATCACCTATAATTCCAGGTCCAGGGCATCTGATGCTCTCTGACCTCCTTGGACACCTGCATGCATGTGGTACACATAAACTTATGCGGGCACACATACATACATAATCTTTAAAAATTTAAATAACAGCCAGGTGTGGTGGCCACCTGCCTTTAATCCCAGCAGACTCAGGTGGATCTCTGTGAGTTCAAGCCCAGCCTAGTCTACATAATGAGTTCCAGGCCAGCTAGGACTACATGGTAAGACCCTGTCTCACTATGAAAAGAAAAAGAGAGGGAGGGAAGAAATAAATAAAAGTTAAAGAATCACCACACAGTTACACTCCAACATTTTAGTTGTGTTATTTAGTTGCATTTAGTTTTATCTGTTAATAGTAGTTAGTCTGCATTGTATAAACTAGGTCTCATTAGTGTGGCCCACTTTACGTATTTGAAATGTTAATAAAGCAGTTAGTCAATAATAGTTTGTTATGAATTGATAGTAGTGTTTGATACAGAGCTTTTGTTATGGACTGAATGTCTGTGTTTCATCAAAATTCATGTTATATCTGACACCTTCAATGTTTTGATATTGGAGTTTGGGTATTTGGAAGGTAATTAGATTTAGAAGTAAAGAGGGTGGGCCCTTTGATGGGATTAGTGTTTTTTAAGAGGTCAGAGAGCTTGCTCTCTCAACCTACCTCATTCCCCACTTGAGCTGCACCTTAATTTTGGATTTCTCCATCCTCCAGAACTGGGAGAAATAAATTTTTATAATTTAAACCAGAGTAAGGTGTTTTGTTAGATTAGCCAAGCAGACTGAGACTCAAGGACTGAGTTATTTTCTAACGATCACCAGAAACTAAAGCCCTCTCTCAGAGCCCAGACATGCACCACCACTCTCAGTTGATGAAGTGTAGGGGATGGAGCCCAGGGCTTAGTGCATGCTACCAACTGAGCCACATCCTCAGCCCTTCTCAGCAATGTTTGGAAGGACAGTTACTTTCCAAGTCTCTTCTCAATTTCAATCTCAAGGAGTAAAAAGTCCCATTCTTTCTGAAATATGTCAGATCTCATTTCACTGTCTAAAACTTTCTCTGTTCTAGAGAATTAACATTTTTGTGAAATTAGTGCATTTATGAATGAGTAGCATTGTTAGCACTCTGCTCTTGAGTCTTTTTCTTGTTTCTAAATATTTAATAAGGAAACTGGTTTATTGCAGCCGTGGGGCCAATTTCATAACTCAGATTTTGCTGAGACCAGGAGCTTCGGATTTAACTGGAAGTTTCAGGTACAGTACCATTTACAGCTTTTAACCTAAGCATCTGTTTCTGACTTTGTTAGAGAATGATAAAGGAATTCCTGAGGTGCTGCTTAGTGAGACCTTAAAGAACCTTCTTATAGGCAGAATGTTGGCCTGCAGGGTTTCAGTGTGCTAATTCACACTAGTGGTGCCCATTTGGACTAGAGTAGCCTGTTACTGATATACTCAAAAAAAAAGAAAAACCAGCCTGTACATATTAATTATCTGCAGAAAACCTTAAAATCTTGACTGTTTCTGTGGTATCTTTTAGTTGCCATGTTCTTTCTATATGAGTATGTGCTGCCTGCTGGTTCCTTCATACTTAAAAGCCTGAAGGGAGGGACTAGAGAAATGGCTCAGCAGTTAAGAGCACTGGCTGCTCTTGCAGAGAACCAGGGTTCAGTTTCTGGCACCCACATGACATCTAGCAACTGTCTGTAACTCCAGTTCCAGGGGGATCCGACTCCCTCTTCTGACCTCCACTGGCATTGCACAACATGGGTGCACTTAACATACATTCAGACAGTACACTCATACACATAAAATAAAAATAAATAAGTGGAACATCAAGGAAGAAATTTAAATGTTAAATTAAAAAAAAAACCTGAAGGAAAAGTTGGGTCCAGGTGAACTTGATCTTCACTTCAGAGATCTTAGTTATGCCAAATTGCCACTCATGTCCTGAATTCAGTCCCTGGAACCCACGGTGGAAGGAGAGACCCAACTCCACAAAGTTGGCCTCTGACCTTACACACTCTTACCACACAGATCATACGCACAACAGTAATAAAATTTACATGCATAAATAAATAAGTGAAAAAATTGCTGCCTCCCTATCCATTGCTTTAATAAGTTAAAAATGGTTTTAGCTGAGCATGGTGGCGCCTTTAGCCCTGGCACCACCTAGCAGAGGTAGGTGGATTTCTGTGAGTTTGAGGCTAGCCTGGTCTACATAGCAAGTTCCAAGCCACCTGTGGCTACAGGGAGACCCTGTCTCAAAAAGACCAAAAAATAAATAAATAAACCAAATAATAGATGTTCCCTCCTGCTTGGAGTTACTAAACAAAGGGATTAGTTCCCCACATGCCTTCCCAGCTCCTCCTCCTCACTTTAGAAATTGGTTGAGCTCTATGCTTGACCTGTAATCCCCCTGAAGAGTTACCCTACTGTGTCTTAGCTGTGTCCTCAGTTCATAGCAAAAGTCTCCATGACAGCCTCCATCCTGAGATGCCTTGTTCCAGTCTTAGTCTAGCTCATCTGCAGTCTTAGCAACTCTTCCTACTGGGACCTGGTTATGGTTATCCTTGTGAACTTAGTAAGCCAGTCTTAGTAAGGAGATGCCTCTTTGTGAAGAGATGCCTATTGGCTGCCAAGTTCATTCCAGCCGCACAATGCATGCTTTTATGCCAGTATTTCAGCTTGAAAGGTAAATGTTAAAGCAGTTTCCAAACCAAAAGTAATGGGTGCATCTGCATTAAACAGCTGATGTACAATATTTTCATAGTTTCTGATAGTATGAATCTTGAGAAGATACTAAGAATTCATTTTTAGAATTATTCTAAACTCCTTACTTATAGTTCATAGAGCATTTATTGCACAAGACACACGTGTCACAAACTTTGGGAACTTGTCTGTGTCCGGTGAGTTTTGGGAGTTTGAGGCTTTAAGAATACCAGCAAGCTTTGATTGAAAGTTTAAGATACATGTTCAAGGCCAGCCTGTTCTACATGGTGAGTTCTAAGCCTGCTAAAGCTACATATAAGGAGACCTTATTAAAAAAAAAAAAAAGATACATGTAGATAAATGTATTCATCCAGATATTCATATTCTGATTTTTTTTTTTTACAGATTATACAGAAAAGAAGTTCTACAGAAATTAATAGAAAAGTGTGTTTCTAAAGGCTATGTCTTTCAGATGGAGATGATTGTCCGGGCAAGACAGTTGAATTACACTGTTGGTGAGGTGAGCAGAAACCGTTGTGTGTGTACTCAACAGAAAGGTACAGGGAGGTGGATAGGCTTTACACATAGCTTAGCTTGCCTAACTACAAAGCTAGTAACATCTTAGACTTCAAGTTGTTTATAATAACCATGCATTGCATTAAAGGGTAAAAATTCAAATGAGTGTATTTGACCTACTGTAATTTATACCAAAGCAGTTGGTTGCTGGTACCTCATAGCTCTTCTTCTGACCAGGCAGCATTACAGTGTGAGTTCCTTAGCTGTTTTTCCTCTGAGTAATGAAAATGTCCAGGGACTACAGAGCAAGGGTCTGGAGGCTGGCTGGTGAACTGCTGGAGAAGACCCCACATTTCATACTAGACTCTTATTCACAACAAGAAAATAGCCACCCTATACTACCACGTCTCTTGTGAAAGATAAGGTTTTTATTTAATGTCATCACAATGATCATTAAATATCACGAATTGAGGGGGGCGTGAAAGATCATTTTAATTTTTTTTTTTTGTTTTTTTACACAGGGTTTCCCTGTAGCCCCAGCTGGCCTGGAACTCACTAGGTAGACCAGGCTGGCCTTGATCTCACAGAGATCTGCTTACCTCTGCCTCCCAAGTGCTAGAATTAAAGGTGTGTGCCATCACACGACTCAAAGATCGTGTGTGTGTGTGTGTACATGTGTACATGCATGCATGGCCATGTGTGTGCAGATGCCCTTGGAGGCCAAAATTGGTTGGATCCCTTGGTACTAGAGTTACAGATGGTTGTGATCTGTCCAGTATGGTGCTGGGATCTGAACTGAGATCCTCTGCCAGAGCAGCAAGTGCTCTAAACCATGGAGTCATCTCTCCAGCCCCTCATTTAAGTATGGTTTAACTAACATAGTATCCAGAGTGTCAGTGCTTTTCAAACAGCTGTAGATTTGATTCAGATTATTTATTTTTAGATACTAAAATAAGGACAGTTAACTTTAAAAAAAGTTTTTTAACATTATGTGTATGAGTGTATTGCCTGCATGTGTGCAAGTGCACCAGTGTTGTGCATTGCCCACAGAGGTCAGAAGAGGGCATCGGATCCCCCAGAACTGGCGTTAGGATGGTTTTAGCCACCATCTGGGTGCTAGGATTCAAACCCCAGGACTCTGCAAGAGCAGTCACTTCTCTTAACCACTGAGCCAATTCTCCAGCCCCCGAAAATATTTTTTATGTATATTAATGTTTTGTCTGCGTGTATATAATAGCATCTTGTGCGTGCAGTGCCTCCAGAAGCCAGAAGAGAGCATTGGATCCACTGGAGCTGTATACAATGGCTGTTATCTGCCATGTGGATGCTAGGAACCGAAACTGGGTCCCCTGCAAGAGCAGCCGATGCTCTTAACCCCAGAGCCATCTCTCCAGACTGGAATAAGGGGATTCTTAAAGTAAATGTTACTTTTACTGGAGAGATGGCTCAGGGGTTAAGACCACTGACTGCTCTTGCAAAGGACCCAAATTTGATTCCCAGCATCCACACGGCAGCTAACAACCATCCTTACTTCCAGTTCCAAGGGAATCCAACACCCTCTTCTGACTTCCAAGGGCATTGAATGACACAGGTGCAATAATGAAATATTTTTTTAAAAAAAAGAATCCCCTGATTCTATGGATCCCTGCTGCTTCTAGATTGTTTGGTTTGTTTGAGACATGGTCTCCCTGTAGCCCCAGCTGCCTGGAACTCACTACATGGACCAACCTGGCCTTGAACTCAGAGATCCTCCTGCCCTCCTGAGTGCTGGGATTAAAGGTATGTGCCACCACGCCTGGCCATGTTAGTCTTTGAGGTATTTTATGTTTTATGTGTATGACCATTTTGCCTGCATTGTATGTAAGTACACCCATGTGTGCAATGCTCATGGAAGCCAGAAGAGGGCATCAGACCCCCTAGATCTGGAATTGTAGACAGTTGTTAACCTCTCTGGGTGCTGGGAATTGAACTCAGGTCCTCTGCAGAGCAGCAAGTGCTCTTAACTGCTGAGCCATCTCCATCCCAGAAAAATTATTATGTAAAGAATAAGATACACAAGCCGGGCATGATGGCATGTGCCTGTAGTCCCAGCACTTGGGAGGCAGAGGCAGGCGGATCGCTGTGAGTTCAAGGCCAGCCTGGTCTATATAGTGAGTTCCAGGACAGTTGGGGCTACAGGGAGACCCTGTCTCAAAAAAAAAAAAAAAGTAAGATACACTAAGTTTAGTAGTATTTAACAAAGAGCTACAGTGTATAGAAAACTCAAACAATGGAAAACATCATTTTCAGTCCAGATCTCCTAATAAGGTAGCAGTCCTTCATGAAGTCACATGTGGACACAGTTCATTGCAGGACTCACTTTGCATTGAAGACTAACTTTAATTTTTTTTGTTTTGTTTTGTTTTTTTAACCAGGTTCCAATATCGTTTGTGGATCGAGTTTATGGTGAATCCAAGTTGGGAGGAAATGAAATAGTCTCTTTCCTGAAAGGATTATTGACTCTCTTTGCTACTACGTAAAAGAAATTATTCACTTAGGCTTACCGTGTTCATTTCAATTAAATGTAAAGAAGCCTGATTTTCTGGTTTTTCTAAATGTACTCTTAGAGCATGAACTTGAAGGTAAGGTACGTTTCATATGGATCTTTTCTTTGGAGAAACTCACATTGAAATTTCAAATTAAACAATGCTACTGGTTCAATAAGCAGTGTTCTCAATTTTTATGTATATTTTGCTGTATCGAGGCCTATAAACAAATTATATAGGTTTTGCATAAAATGTTGCTTTCATTAGAGTGTATGAATACAGAGCTTTTTATATGGGAAAGAATATGAAATACTCTAAAAAAGATGGGCGTGGTGGTGCATGCCTTTAACCCAGCACTCAGGAGGCAGAGGCAGGATGTGAGTTCAGGGTCAGCCTGGTCTACATAGCAAGTTCCAGGCCAGCTGGGCTACAGGGAAACACTCAAAAAGACAAGATCAAATTTTTAAAAAAGAAATATTGTTAAACTAGATATTTTTAGTTCTTTATACCTAGAGCTCAGATTTCTCAAACTAGATACAGCATTACATTAAAGCAGACTTTGAGGCTTAGGCTTCAACTGATGAAATATTTCATCTACTTAAAAGCAAGCCATGGAAAGTATATACTATGAATTGGAAAACAGCTTGGTATTGGTTGATTGCATAGCTGTCTTTTTTATTTGGATTTTTGAGTCCCAACTTCTATAGGAAAGAAAACCATTTTTATCTCAAAGTAGTTTTTACATTTTTACCTTAACAAAGCTTGCTAGCATAACAAAAATCTCTTCTCTATGATGTTTTTCATCATCAAGAAAAGTGTTCTGCCAGGTGAATGAGGGAAGTTGCTCTGTGGACTAGGGCAGTCTTCCACTCCACCAACCTTAACACAGGGTTTCACACGTCAGTGAGCTTCTAGCACTAGTTTCACTTTTAGGTCATCTGGTGTCTTTACCTCTTCAGTAGGTCATACTTAAGATCTAGCTGACTTTCCTTTGCAAGAAAAAGTAGTATCCGAGTTATTTAGCATTCAGAGATGGACTTTCATACTGCCTGAGCTAACCTCCAATGTGCTATGTAGTTGAGCCTGGTCTTGAATTACTTACTGGTCCTCCTGCTTCCGCCTCTCAAGTGCTAGGACTGTGGGCACACACCAGCACCCCTGCTAGTATACTCTTCTCCCTAGCATGCTTTGGCTGCTGAAGAAATTGAACGTCTTCCTTCTTCATTTCCCTCTCTGATTTATCTTGCCAGAAATGGACATTACACTAAAACCTTTGGTGTCATTTTGCACACTAAAGCCTCTGTAGTAGCCCCATTCCTGAACCCATAACACACTCTAATAAGAGCCACTACTGTTGTGTTTTGGCCGAAACCTATTGGGCTGACCCACCAAACATCCTTGGGGAAGTGGCTTTCTTTCATCCTTAGTAAGCAGAAAATTCATGAGTATTTAATGTTAAATTAGTTTTAAGCTATAGTAATAAGAGTTACAATAGTCTCAAATTGGCTTTGGAGTGCTGAGTTAAGATTTCAGTGTTTGGGCTGAAGAGTTGGCTCAGTGGTAAGAGCACTGGCTGCTCTTGCAGAGGACCCAGATTCGATTCCCAGCACCCACATGGTGGCTATAAACTGTCCATAACTCCAGTCCTAGAGGAATTCGACACCTTCTGACCTCCATGGGCATTATATGACATGGATGTACTTACATGCAGGCAATACACTCATACATAAAATAATTCTTTAATTTTAAAGATTTCAATGTCAAGTACATACAGGAGAAATTAAGTAGCCACCTTAAGAGAACTCACTGTGAAGTGTTGCCTTCTTATACCTCTCAAGTAGAGAACTTGTCTTTCTCATTTCTCAGTGCTTACTCTCCCAAATATCTTACCCATCACTATTGGAATTGTACTGAGCAGATTTTAGCCATGAACACTATTACTTAGAAGCCATTTAGAAAATTCTATTTAGCTATATATTTGTGCTAGATCTGGTGACATAAACGCTCAAATCTTTGTTTTAAAACATCTACATCTGAATCTGGCATCCGTTTTTGCTTCGTAAGTGAAGCCAGTAATGAAATCCAGATGTTCTTTGTATTATCAGTGTATGAAATGTAAGATGTCCAAGGAAATCTAAGATAAAGTAAGTTTGTTTATTTTGTTGTAGCTTTTGCCTGTCTCTGCAGTGTGCGGATACCTGTCTATAGTCCTCTGAAATACTTTGTTCCACTTTTTTTTCAAACAACTTGTTGCATCTCTTGTCTTCCACTGAGATTAGTCTTTTAAAGATAGATTCTAATAATTGGCAGAAATTACTGGAGTAGCCTGTTGGGTGAAAGGTTTATTCAACTCTCTAACCAAACTCTTAAAACAAGAAAAGGGGTTGGCCCACCCTTCACAGTACTTTTTAGTCAACATACTGTTCTCTGGGGTGGCTCTCCTGTTGAAGGTGGGCCCAAGGCTGTTGATGCTGAGATGGTGTGTTGGCTGGGGCTGACTTAAAGTTACAAAGCAAACAGTTCATGTGCTGCCGTGCTGTCCAGATTTGTGGGAGCACTAGGACGGTCATGGGTCATGCATGGCCAGTGGACAGTACAACTTTTCATCCTTAGGCCTCCCTAGTCTGCTGGCCTCAACACTAGTGGCTCCCCCCCCCTTTTTTTTTTAAGCCAGGGAGACGTGGTCATCTGGTGACTTGGAAGAATGTCAAGTCCAGGGCAACTTGTAAAGCCCCACCATCCATTGCCCCACTCCACCCCTCCAAGAAGGGCTCAAGAGTTGTCTCATCTCCAGCCAATGTGTGAAGCACGAGGCCTCACACCTCATTTACCGCAGGAGACGTCCTGCTCTCCAGTCGTGGTCCCTGCCCCTTCACGTTGTTTCCCAGCCTGTGAGAGCGCGCTCTACCAGCACGTGGAGCCTGGGGCACCGTCCTGCCAGATGTAGTCCAGGCCCAGCTGGGCCGCGCAGGGATCCCAGCACAGCCACCTGACTGAGTGCTGGGAGTACTGCGGCCCGCTGCTTCTGCCTCCGCCGCTGGCGCTGCGGCCAGGGGAAGGCGCCCTCCTAGCACACGGGCCCGGGAGCGCACTGCGGCCATTATCCACGGCGCCTCCTAGTGGGTCAATGGCAAATCCAAGTTCTCGCGAGAGCTCTGGCTCAGAGGGGATTATATAATCTCCCCCAGGCGAGGCTAGGGGTGCTGGGGGCGCCCCCCCCCGGGAGAAAGTTGGGGGCGGCGCGGCTGGTGGCTAGAAGGGGTCCTGGTGGGCCTCCCGGGGAGGGGTGTTGGCCCCCACCACCCCCCTGCTTAGCTGGACAATGAGTCCTCTTATGCTAATGAGGCGCTTACGTCACTTCCGCTCTTTCTCGGCCGCCATTTTGGCTAGGGCAGGTTCGGGGACTCACTCCGAAGCGCTTGTATTGTCTGCAGAGGGGAGACGCGGGATCGGCCCCCTCCCCCGCCCGCCGCCGTTGCCGCCGCCGCCTCCGGCCCGGTCTCCCCGCCGCCGTCGCCGGGACCCATGAGCTGAGCGCCCGCCCCCCGGCCGCCGCCATCTTGGCCCCCTCCCCCTCCGCTCCGCGCTCGGGGGGATTTGGCGTCTCCTCAGACACAGCTCCCTCTCTCGGTCCCCGCCGCCGAGGAGGAGCCGCGCGGCCACCGCCGCCCGC